TGCGGCCATGTACATGTAGGGTGGCTTTGGGATAATTGTGGAGTGTGCAGGGCAGTCTCAGAGCCGTCACGGGGCGCTTTGCACTTTCGTGGGTCCGTCTTACAGTACGCTTTCTTCGGGTTGTCTTGAGGCCGCCTTGGGGGAGCATTCATTGAAGACGCCTGGGGGGACATGTTGCAGCCTCGAGGAGAAAAGAATAAGGCGACGGGCAGAAAACATTGAGCTTGAGCGGAGTACCCAACCCTTGGCAGTTGCATGTAGCGTAGGGAGTGGCACTATCCCTGCATATTGCGCGCCGCGAGAGAAAGAGAGAGAGAGAGAGAGGGAGAGACAGAGAGAGAGAGAAGAAAGAAACAGAGAGAGTGAGAGAGAGGCAAAACAAAACAACTACAGGGAGAAAAAGAGAGAAAGCGAAAGAGAGAGAGAGAGAGACACACAACGAGAAAGCAAAATTAACATACAGAGAGGAAGATACTGAGAAAGAGAAACAGAAACAGAGAGAGAGAGAGCCCGGAACGCGTGAGTGATGTGCAGAAGAGCGTGCCGCAGCTGGAGCTCCCTTCGGGGCACGAGATGTGCAGGGCGTGCCAAACGGGGTTGCCCACCAGGGTCAGAGCTGGAGCTCTTCTGTGGGCCACGACACGCGAGACGGATGTGCCGAATGGAGCGAAGGGGACCGCGTGCGAGCCTGCCCATTGGGGCCGTTGCGGCAAGAAGGGGGGCCAATTGAGTGAGGGCCAATTGAGAAGGGGGACCGCATGCGAGCTTGCCAATTGAGTGAGGGGCGTGCCAAATTTGACGAGGGGGCACTGCATGCGAGCCCACTGGGGCCACAGTTGGAGTTCCCATGCGGCGCACGAGGCGTGCGAGGGGTGTGCAGACGTGGGCGGAGGAAGCGCAGCCAGATGACCCCACTGTGGCCGGAGTTGGGGCTCCCTCGGGGCCACGAGACGCGCAGGGTGGGGGAAGGGGGGGGCATTGGGCGAGAGCGGGCCGCGTGGGAGGCGCGACCAGTGGGGCCGCAGCTGGAGCTCCTCCTCCTCCTCCCTCCTCCTCCTCCTCCTCCTCCTCCTCCTCCTCCTCCTGCTCCTCCTCCTCCCTCCTCCTCCTCCTCCTCCTCCTCCTCCTCCTCCTCCTCCTCCTCCTCCTCCTCCTCCTCCTCCTCCTCCTCCTCCTCCGTCCCCTCCGCGCTCCTCGCTCCTCGCTCCTCGCTCCTCGCTCCTCGCTCCTCCTCCTCCTCCTCCTCCTTAAGCACGAAGCGTGAAAACGGTGTACCAAATTGGACGCGTGCCCGCATGCGATCGCCCCGCCGAGGCCGTATCACGAAGGCACAAAGCGTGTGGCGGGCGTGCCGGTTGGACCAGTGGGACCGCATACGTACGTAGGAGCCCTCATCTGGGCCATGGGTGGAGCTCCCTGTGGAGCACGCAGCATGGTATGGGTGTGCTGCATTGGGCGGCGGCACGACAGCAGCAGCGACAGGGAGGAGAGGAGGGAGGAGGAGGGAATAGGAGGAAGGAGGGGGAGGAGGAGGAGGGGGAGGAGGAGGAGGAGGAGGAGGAGGAGGAGGAGGAGGTGGAGAAGAATGAGAAGGGAAGGAAGGAGACGCGCGGCGCAGCGGCAGGAGAACGAGGACACAAAACCAGTAGGGTCGGGAAGAACAGGAAGGCCTGGCGTGCCAGGAGGCATGGCGGCGGATCTGCTGACAAACATCGTTCGAGGTGCCCCAAATAATAGGAGTGCCGCGAAGAAGCTTCACGCGAATTATGCTCATTACGACTACTCGCTTCCGCCCTTCAACCTGCCGAAGCTTCACCAGCTGATCGAGGTGAACAGCGAGGACTGGTCTGAGTATGCTCTTTTTGCGCTGCAGCCAGCTTCGACATGAAATGAGCGGAAGAAGGTCAGCAGGCGTTTCCTCCACGACACGGCCCCGGGGCTCGGTGCCCTGACTCGTCATAGTTGCATTGCTCTCTTGGGTTACATCTTGGCCACAGGGGACCAGCTGGCGGAGCCTCGTGTAAGGAGATTGCGAGTGCGCTGCTCTGCCCATGCGAGACGCAACTGGGACCCCGTTTCCAGGTCTCACGGGCCGTGCCCTCAGGAAGAGCAGCGTAGGTGAGGATCAGTGCTTACCAGCCCGACAAGATTTGTTATTCATTTCGCGAAGATGGTCATGCCGGGGCGCTTCGTGGACACAGTGGAATAATGCACATATTGGCAGCAGAGATGAATGCGGCGGAGTCACCCGCTAAGTCGCAGCTGTCTGAACTTGCAAAAGAATCTAACAATGGATCGTGTATTCTCGTGGTGGTCACGCCAGACCGACAGCTAGCAGAACAGCACGCATTCAAGCTTGAACGCAGCCACGACACTGCAGGTGCACAAATGCCAGCGCGTGCACGCATGGAGATGTTCGCCTTGGTCTAGCTGTGCAGGCAAGAAGCTGGAGATACAAGAGCAGGTCCTCGCACTCCCACTCACGGCGCTTGCCGACGCGCGCGAAGATATGTCACAAATCGTTGTAAGGCATGGTGAGCGGCGAAGACTACTGGAGCTCTGCCCGCCACCTTTTCACAGAATGCAAACACGAGGAAGACAGTCATTCACACGTTCGCGCGCATCGAAGGCATCCTACACCTAAGCATGAACATGTTGCGCGCTGCTTCACGCGCACAGACATGCTTTTACGCCGAGGCTGGGCGCGCGGCTACACGGGCGGTCGGTGCACGCACAGACACACAAATACATGCGCTTCTCCTTGCGATATAACGACATACGCTATATTGGATGCGCCCGTCAATACCAGCCGAGCCACGGCGGCAGAACGCTCAGGACACGCGCGCGCACACTCATGCACAAGTGCACGGACGCAAGGACTCACACAGTTTTGCTTCGCGGCGTTTCGCGCGGCGTCCACGCAGAGTCTGTCGCGCTATAGCAAGCTCATACACACACAAGCATGTTTCTGAATGCCGCCCAACCCTACGGTTGGGGTACGGAACGCGGGAGGATTAATTGATAGTTGCGTTGGCCGGGGAGCTAAAGTTCAGTCGTTGATACATTTGGTGAAGGTGTGAGGACATTGATTAAACCAACATGGTTCAACTAGTCGGCAGTGTGCAGCAAAGGCGTTTCAGTGATTGCAAATAGTCCCTCACAGGAGTCATTCCTTTGTGATTCACGAACACCACATCTCTATGCAAGTGTTTCTTGATATCCACACGGTTTGCCTTACAGCATTGCGTAGTGTCAGATGGCAAATATGCAGTACTTCATGAAGGCTAGCCTTGCACCCTTGCCTCGTCGACCAGTCCTTAACGATAGATCCTCGAAATCCAAGGAGTTTGCATCCATATGCTGCGTTCCTACTATGGGATTTGACCGCATCATACGATACCACGCCATGTTCAAACAAGCTGTACAGCGTCATGTTGCCGCAGGCAATCACAATCACCACCCTCATACCACGAAGGCGGGTTGTGGCGGATTGCTTGCTCTGCAAGGGTCTCGCGCAACGCAGCAGATGCCAGAGACGAAGGAGCGTTTGGACATGGTCTTGCGCGGCAAGGATCCTGTCCAGGTGTGTATGTGTTTGTCCATCCCATGGCACTCGCCCCTGCGAGTGTGCATGGACTGGCCTCCGCTGAACCGCCCCCTCGTGTTGGCCTCGCGCGCTGCTCGTCGAGCACGACGGCAACAGCGGCGCTTCGTCCCTGACCGTGCCGTGAAGCTTTTGGCTCAGGTCACTGACAGGAGTGGTCAGCTGCGCACTGCACGTTCATGCCTAAGTCTTTACCACCAGCATCACCATCATCATCATCATCATCATCATCATCATCATCATCATCATCATCATCATCATCATCATCATCATCATCATCACGACTAAGCCTAGTCAATTTGGCTCAAGCGACTTCGGCTGCGGCGGAGGCCCTGCCAGCCCGCGGTGTTATTTGGGCACACTGTGCGCTTGGGGCCCACTGGGAGCCATGGAGGTTGAGCGGCCGATTACCGCGGTCGATTCCTGCGGCAACGTCGTCTTACTGGCCCCGTCCCGGCCTCCGCCGCTGGACGCGGACGCGGCAGCCGACTCTCAGGCGTGGGAGGCCGTTCGCTTCTCGCCCCACAACCAGGGGCATTTGTATCACTTCACGTACGCCCGCCAGCACGTCCAGGTCACTGTCGGCATGGCGTCCACCCACGCGGCCCGGATATGCAGGTTGTGTTATCGGGAGAGGGGCACCGTCTGCCGCCGGCCTAGAGCCATCTCGGGGCCCTCTTCGGGGCCTTGTTGGGCGACTTGGAGGCACGTTTGGAGTATGTTGAGCTATTTGTTGGGAGGGGGCACCATGGGATCATCTTGACCAACATTGAGTCCTTCTCGGGTCCTCTGGGGACCAGCTTGGGGCATCGTGCGGCCATCTCCGGGCCTTATTAGGCAGTCTTTGGGGCACCTTGTAGCCTCTGAGGGCCACCTCGAGAAACATTTGGGCTACATTTAGGTTTCAGGAGCCATATTGGAGCCATCGTGGGACACTCTTGGAGAAAAAGATTTCGAAACGAATATACAAAGTGATAGGTGTCCTTTGTTGGTTGCCGCTTTGTGGGCGTCTTGGGGAGCTCTTGATGGGTTATTGGTGCATCACGTGGCGATCTTGTGGCAGTATCGAGCTATCTTTACCTCTCTGGGGCCTCTGCGGGGCCTCTTCGAACCCTTCCTGGTGGCCTCTTGGGCTCTCTTGGCCGTCTGGTGGTGTCCCTGCGTGAATCCTGGGGCACCCTCTGTGGCCACTTCGGGCGCCGTGAGCCCCTCGGTGGGCAGCAGAAGTTTGAGACAGGACACGGGACGAGAGAGGGAGAGAGGAGGCAAGCCAAAGATGGATCAATCACACTCGCAGCCCGGGGTCTGCATAGGTGGCGGCGGATCTCTTGATGGAAGCGGGGTGCAGCAAGCCGGAGGTGCTTGCTTTCCGCGCTCTGTGCATAAAGAGGCTGCCCCGCGACGCAGGCTACGCCAAGCCAGACCAGCATGCAGCACCACCGCCGAGGCAGGAGGAGCGGGGAACGCAGCCGCCGAGGAAGAAGTTCAAAGGGGAAGTCTCCGAGGGGAGCTGGGTATCCAAGCTGGGGACCAGGAACTCGACGTCGCTGTCCGCTGCCGCCCTGCTCGACTTCGAGTGAGATGCCGCTCGCGCAGCGAGCGCTGCCCGGGGAGCCCCCGACCGCACGAGGCGGGGAGCGCCCGAGGGCGAGCAGAGCGGGAGAGCGTCCTCGGAGGGCGCACGCACCTCCTCCTCCTCCTCCTCCTCCTCCTCCTCCTCCTCCTCCTCCCTCCTCCTCCTCCTCCTCCTCCTCCTCTCCCCTCCTCCTCCCCTCCTCCTCCTCCCTCCTTCTCCCTTCCTCCTCCCCTCCTCCTCCTCCTCCTCCTCCTCCTCCTCCTCCTCCTCCTCCTCCCCCTCCTCCTCCTTCCTCCTCCTCCTCCTCCTCCAGGGGGCACTGCAGGCAAGTGCGCCGGCGAGGCCGTCGCGCAGGCGACTGCCCGAGCGAAAGACGTTCGAGTCCATTGGCTCGGCGGCGAGCGAGGGGGGGGAGATGAGAGGGAGGAGGCCTTCCCAGAAGCCCTCGCGCCGTCTGAGCAGTTTCCAGCGTCTTTGGGGAAGGCTCAGAGAACTTGTCAGAGGGACTTCCGAGCCTTCTGAGAAGGGCCGTCCCTTCACGCTTCCCCCCTTCGCTCGCCGTCCATCGACTCAGCGGGAGACAAGGTACCCATACCGCTACCCTTATCTCGGTTTCCCCTTTTGGGGCCTCCTGGCAGGCCCTCGTCGCCACCGCTGGGTTCGCTTCCAAATTTTGGTCAGAACGCACCCAAAGAGAAGTCCAGGGAGTAGCGGTATCAGTACCATTTGGTTTCCCCATTGAGACGTTGTTTCTTCGCCGCGCTTCGAGTCGGAACGAGACCATTGCTCAGGGACAACGATACAGGGGGGACAGGTATGGGGGAGGACGCGTCGATCCCCAATCGCCCACTGATCGCCGAGAAGGGCCCGATGGCCCCACGAGGAGGAGCGACGCAGAGGAGCGAAGAGGAGGAGGAGGGAGGAGAGAGGAGAGAGGAAGGAGGAGGGCGGAGGAAGAGGAGGAGGAGGAGGAGGAGGAGGAGAAGGATCTGCTGTCGGGGCCCTATCGCCAATCTATTGGCGATATATCGCCGATTCCAGGCCGACTCTTCCCCCCCCAAGCCAGCCCCCCCCTGTCGGTGCCCCTCAAGTACTCCCGGCTGCCGTTCTGCCCCAGAGCGGGTCTGTCGTTGCCACCCGCGTATGGATTTGCATGTGGCATCGCCGTCACGCCCTATCGGCGTCCTTGCCCTCGCCTTCCTGCCATCAGGAGCGAGGAGGAGGAGGGCGAGGAGGAGGAGGAGGAGGACGAAGAGGAGGAGGACGAAGAGGAGAGGAGGAGGAGGAGGAGGAGGAGGAGGAGGAGGACGACGACGACGAGGAGGAGGAGGAGGACCCCCCCCTCCAAGGGGGGAAGACGTTCCTGCCGAATGAAGTCGGGGAGAGCTGTACCGGCATCGCCTGCTCTTCTACTTTGCGTCCTGCCCGCTGGCAGCGCTGTTGTTTTTTTCGGCCGCTCGCGGGCAACCACGGCTGCTGTCGGCAGTCCGAGAGGGTTTTTTTTCTGCGTTGGGAGCGCGATGCCTTTAAAAAGCCATCGTCCTTCCCCTCCCCCTCCTCGACAGAGCGATGCTCGACAGTATCGCCGAGACCGAAACAGGGCCGCAGGTGTCGGCGGAGTGCGGATTTCCTCTTCTGGTTATGCTCAACTTCCTCCTCATCTGGGCCACCGCCAGGGCCGCGAGGGCGATCGTGCTTCGCGCTTCGACCTTTTGCTGGGGACTGCAGGGATGGCAGATTCAAGAGCGCGTCGCACCTTAACTCGTTCTGAGGCCCTGAGCAAGAGCGCGAAGTTGACTGACCCAGTGCGTCATCATTCATCCTCCTCCAGCCTGACTGATTCCTGCTCTCTCCTCTGGAGGCATCACCATCATCAGCATCATCATCAGCAGCAGCATCATCTGCATCACCACCATCATCAGCATCATCATCAGCATTAGAGTCATCAGCAGCGTCGACATCAGCAGCAGCAGCAGCTGCTGCTGCTGCAACAGAAGCAGCAGCAGCAGCAGCAGCAGCATCATCCTCATCCTCAGCATCATCAGCATTAACAGCATCATCATCATCATCATCATCATCATCATCATCATCATCATCAGCAGCAGCAGCAGCAGCAGCATCAGCATCAGCACCATCATCAGCATCCTTATCATCATCAGTATCAGCACCATCATCGGCATAATCAGTATCCTCATCATCACCAGCATATCATCCG